TTTCTTGCAGACCCATCTTTAACTGCGGATACTTCTTCCGTGGCACCCTTACACAACCAAACACAGTGGCTACAGAGGTAACAGGCTTTATCATACATACATTCTGTCCCCTCGCTAGCGGGCGTACTTGTCAAGCCGACAGGCTTTGAATCTATGCTTTTGCAAGATAACCCCCTAATGCATATAGTTTCTTAATTGCACAATTTACTTTTAAACGCATTATCCCCCAGTCTCCCACCCTATGCACAGACCTGGGAAGCAGAGCTTCGTCATACTATCTCTCCCTCTGATTGGCAAAAGTTTTTTTACCATGAACCATAAACTCTCCTTAGCCACCAAGAAACCGGGTTTAAATTAGTCACCTGATGGTACAGGTGCAAGGCCATTATTCACCACTTCAACCTGTCAGTACCTGATAATTGTTGTTGATGATACCACTCCCCCAGAGGGCACCATGCTCCATATCTGGTGGCAATGCACCCCCATCAGAAGATTTTGGCAACAAATTTTTGATTGGTACTGCAGACTGATGGGGACATCAACTCAAGCCTCATCTGAAATAGCCCTTTTGTCCATGCTCCCTGGACCCTTTAAATCCGCAAAGAGAGATATCCTTCAACATTTCTTGGCTGATGCCGCTACCGCGGTCATCCCCTTTACTGGTAGTCAACCAACATATCTTCCGTGGGGGAATGGGCCACTGCGGTAGACTCTTTAAGCAATATAGAAAATCTGTTGGCGCAGGAAAGGCAGAGCAGTACTCTCATACCTGGACATCTTGGACCGTGTTCTGCTACTCATCTGAGTTACTCATCTCTACCATGGGCCAAGAGCATCTCGGAACCCATCGCTTCACAGCCATGATGGAGTTGTACTAGCCCTCTGCTTCTGTCTATTTGCTCTTTTCCCCTCTCTTCTACCCTCTTTATACTCCAAGTCATTTTGTACTTGATCCGCATTCTTCTGCAAAAATGTACCACTTATGTGACCCCTAATTTAGGGATCCTTTGAGCATATACATAGTTTTTCTAACTATGGATGTCCGAAGACTTGCCTTGTCTGAAATTATATTTTCTTAATGAGACCAAATAGGATTCTTTAAATGGTGCTCTGCACCCTTTGTCTGTTGTTGATCTTCTGATGTGACTTGAACTTGTATGTCTGCAGTCTTTTATACAAAGCCATTCTCTTTTACTTATCATACTTTGTACTTGGTGCGCATATGTATACACATCTTTGATTCAATAAAAATAAGATTGAAAGCAGGTTTGTTCAGCACTTTTATTTAGCAAGGCAGGAAACATAGTTTTAATGCAGGAGGGCTTTTGTACAGAAAGTCTGTAGCGAAACAAAATATCTAATCATCTGAACCACTATCTAAGCAAACACCGTTTGCACCTTTTTTGTATTCTGTCAATGGTCAACCTTATCATTCAGCAACATGATCCTACACCAGAGTGAGAGAACTCCGAGCGTCATTCAGCTCACATATAAAATGTCTAGTCAACAGCTGAGACTAATTAGGTCTCGCCACCAGGTAAGATGTGGACATAGAAATAGAAGCTTTCTGCTACCCAAAGCTCCACAAAGCCTTCAGGCTCCAGGACCCAGAAGAGAACTTATTAAGATTCTGAGAAAGCAAAAAGTGTTTTTTTTTTTTTCACCACATCAATCACAAACCCTGGAGCCCTTCAACATGTGTACGGGAGAAACATAAGTCCACAGTCCAGCAAGCCATTGCTTCAGAGTATGAACAGAATAACTGAAAGAAAATTGGACGTTTCTTATATTTAGATAAAAGCCAGGAATCCCACATACTATTTTTGAAAACATAGAATTGTGGTACAGCTACTCATAATGATAACATGCAGGTCGTTTGATACATCAAAACAATCTTTCCACAAATGGACTTGATATCTAACTAATGCACTAGGTATCATTTTACTTCTCCCCCCACTCCTGGTTGCCTTTCTGCAACAGGCCAGAATGACATTTTTCTTTTGTTCTGAAGCCTCCCGGTATATGTACATCACATATCCCAGAATGCTTTAGGCTTCATTCATGGATAACCCTGTGGCACATCATCAGGGAGCTGGGCTGTCTGAACCAGGAAGTGGCTTCTGATGACATCTGCAACCAAGATTGTAGTGCGGGAACCCAGTGTGTGACAGTGGCACATCAGATCACAGGAGGATTTCACTGGCTGGGTGAGTGTGAATTCTGTAGTATACCAGTGAAAAGAGATGAGAGAGAAAAACAAATCACGGGTGGGGGAGGACTGAGTTCCCCTTTAAAGAGATTTAGACAAATATCCTTTTCCCCTTACTCCCCTAAGAAGATGTAACCCACCTCCTCAACGTTCTAATTCCTAATCCGCTTCTTCACCTGATGTCATTCTTGCGCACTTTGGTCCCCAATGACCCCTGTGTGGCTGGGAGATGGATTGGTTCCTGTATGTTTACCATCCCCAACTGTCTATGAGGCGGACTTGTGCATGTGTGGACATCCCTTATAGAAGTTTGTGAGGAATATAAGTATTTCCGCAGGATTCCACAACAAGATCAAGGGAAAGCATACCATTTTTGGGGGAGGGGTGAAACTTAAATGTTTTCTTACCCTGTAAAGTGGATTTTTGAAAACTTTTGCCTAAGCCAATCGCCATCTTTCTGTCCAGTGATAGTGCCCATACTGACCTCTGCGGCACTCTTATTAGACACAAGGGGCTTTTGGCAGGGCTTGGCTCAAAGTCAGTCCCTTAGCAAACAGTGTCAGTGGAACACACAGATGAGGCTTTTCTTTCTAGCATAATTTATAGCAAGCATCCTTTGGTGCTTGCTCCTAGACAGGACTTTTACTTTTAAAAGTTTAAAAATCACTTTTCAGACTAATTTCTTTGAAAACAGATTTTTACTTTTGAATGGCTGCTGGCATGTTAGATCAAATGCTACCTATGCTTTATAAAGACTTAGGAAATAATATGTTCTCCAGAATTTTGAGGCTCAACCACATTTTGTAGCCTTTATGAAGCCAAATGGTGAAGTCCTAGTCCCCTTTGGATTCTGTTCAATAAATAAGTGATGTCTTTGTTTTGAGCTTGTACATTTGGGCAAAGCCACAAAGTATTGTGGCTAAATCTTTGCTATTGAGGTTTGTAGAAGATAAATAAATAGGTTCCCTGAAACACACGTGCACACCTACAAAAAAGGTAAAGTTAGGCTTATTGTATAGCTATGACATCTGCACCCAGCTTTTGGCCAGATAAGTACTGTATGGTCAGGTTTGCAGATATTTACTACCTACCCTGTCCTTGTAGAGGCACCTTTCCATGGCAACCATATGTATGAAACAGAGCGCTCTTGGGCTGCCTTTTTTTTTTTGCTTTCAATAGAGTAGAGAAGGGCTAGGGTGATGGTGTTCAGGAAGGGAACTGTAGTGGAGAATGTGTCATGATAATTTATTTCTAGCTGATACTGGGCCAAAAATTGGTGGAAATCAACTCTTCCTTTAGATCCCTCCTGGAAGGACAGAAGGGCACCCTCTTTAGCCTCAAACTAGTGCAGTATATAAGACATTTGTGTATTTTTATTTCCTCTAAAATGAAGGAATTCATTGATCTTATTCTACTTCCAGCTTAGGCAATTTAGTAAATAGAGTAAATTAACATGATCTGTTATTGGTAGATAATCAGAATAATCTGGTTGATCCAGCTGTTATATATTCTTCATAATTCACCCACCTGGATTCTGTTAACATTTTGAAACGTTAATGCTCTATTTCCAGACTTCATGTGGAAAAATAGACTCCATAGGATACGCTTATAGACCCTGCAGTATCCCAAGGATCTAGGAGGCCTGTCTGTCCCAAATGCCCAGATGTATTTCACATAATCTCAGATGCAACATTTTAATGGATGTGAGATAGTGGAAGTTCCACATTCTTCCTTTAAATTTCTTAAATGGATCCTTTCCCCTCCATCTGGCAAGATCAAATGTCAGTCTGGTATGAATGGACAGGCAGTCCGTTTACATCTGACTGCCCATAGAGGAGAGCAGGCTGTTCATCTGCATAAGAGGAGTGCAAGGAAAACTGTCATCCACCTGCTAAGCAAACGGTTTCCCTGCTGAGCAAGCAGATTGTAGGCAGAGTCTGCCCTATGTGAGAGGGGCCTTACTCTTCCTCACTTTGCTAAAATGTGCTTTTGGCTGTGCCCCCATACCTTCTTGAAGGGCAGTCTTCCCAATAGGGGAAAATAGACAAAAAAAAAACTGACAAATTCTACCTGTTCCTGTTTTCCCAAAAATTAGATAAAACATTTTGGGGCTTGGTGTCACTCTTACAATTATAAATATACACAGAATCTGTTACCTACTCTTTATGTATAATTATTTTATGCAGTCTGTCTCACTTTTATGTATGCTTAATTTTTGTTTTCTTTCTTTTTTATTTTCTTTTTCCATATTATGTATTTGTTGAAAAAACAATATAAACATTTGTAAATGAAAAAATTATTTTCATTTTAATAAAAAATTGTAAAAAAAAATGTATAATTTAAAAGGCAGCATCCATCCATTTGCCTCTCTTCTGTATTGTTTTTACCATATATTTACTACTACTCTAAAGAACAGCCGGAACATGACACTACATTAAAGGCCCCATGTACACAGGTGTATGTTCCAGCCTTGCTGCCTGCAGCCTTTCATAGTCTGACAGGCTGCAGCTGGATGGGGCTGATCGCTGTACAGAGTGGTTCAGGGATGAATGCCTGGAATGCAGGTCTTCTGCAGTTCGGACATTTGTCCCTAGGGATATCAACACTCCAGTTCCACTCAGTACAGCATCAACAGTAGGGCTGGATGCTGCACCTTTCCTCCTTGGCAATACTAAAATGCTGAAAAGAACACACAGCAGCTGGACAAGGGGCCTTAGAATATTGCACAGTGTACACTACATTCATCGCCTGTACAAGAATATAATTTGGCTATTCTCTGTTATATTTGCAGGTTATGGGATGATGGGATAATTGATCCGGCTGATACCAGATTAGTTCTGGGACTGAGCCTCAGTGCTGCTTTGAACGCACCAACACAGAAGACTGAGTTTGGCGTTTTCAGAATGTGATTCACTCCAGAACCCAAGCCACTACTGTAATCTATCAGACTTCTCCTAAGAGCTTTCCATCTTGTAAAATAAAAGTTTTTATATAAACACACTTTGTAATTTATTATATAGTATAAAAAAATCATAAGAACAACCTAATAAGTGAAAGGTTAGTTATCCCTGCCTCTTATGTTGAGCATACACTTTTTTTTTTTTTTTTTTTATATTTGCCATGTTTTAGAATTAAACTTTGCAGTGATTTCAAAAGCAATTCAAATCACAGTCCGGGTAAAAACAAAACTATGGGCCCTTTCACACTGCTGCGCTTAAAATGTATGTGTAACATGCTTTTATCATGCTTTTAATGCTTTTTTTTGTGCTTTCTGGTTTCCTGACTCCCAGCATTCACCTGTGAAATGTGGACATGTGACCCAAAAAATACTGATGCAGTGCATTTTTCAATGTGCCTTTTGATGCACTTTTTTAATGTAATTTTTAAAAAATTGTATTTATTCGAAAATGCTTTTCTAAAGATTTTGATGCGTTTCCATTGAGCAACAATGAAAGGTGCTTTTTTGTGTGCACTTTTTGAAAATTTGCACCAAAGATGCAGCATACTGGACTTTTCAAAATGCTACGCACCTGCATCTGTGAATGGTTACAAAGGGTGAACTTTTTCATGCGCTTTTGTCACACTGGAAAAGTGTGTATTAGCGTAGCAAAAGTGTGAAAGGAGTCTAAGACGACCTTTCAGGCAGCTCTCCTTGAAAAGCAGGCAACCTTGTAAACAGAGTCCCTCACTGATGACAGTTAAATAAGCAATTGGAACTTGGTTTCCCGTTTAGAAATCTGGAAGGTGATCTTTGATGCACCTTTTATCCAGAATGCATAATGCAAAAATATTCTAATCATTAATTGAGTGTTTAGTATAAGGGTGGATTCCTTAGAAAATAGGTCATTTCAGTGCGTATGAAACTCAAAAACAGTTGAGTATTGTAGGTAATATTTGCACTACTAGTATAGTATTCATGACAAGCTTTTGGGGGATCTACCCCCTTTGAACTCTGTACTGCTTAGACTGGATCAAGTGAAGTTTTTCCAAACTTTGTGGAAAAAAAATATAATATACAGTACTCAACTGTGTACCTACAAGAGCTCTAATACATCTACAATCACCTTACACCTGTCACGCAGCATTTACTTTACAGGCAGGTCCAATGTGATCTACAGAAAGTCAAAAAGAGTCGACGTTGGATATAAAGGAAGATAGCTGCGCAGATTAATCAGCTAAATTTCTGAGCTATTTTCACATTTTAGCTACAGGTTCTATTAAACAATAACTTAATAAAGCCCATTGCCAGGCAAGGTAATTTTTTTTTTATGTAAAGTTTCCCCCATGCCTTTTATAGACCCTTTTTTTCTTTATTTTTGACTGCCCCCATTGCTAATAAAAAAATAATCAATATTGTCCTGAAGATGTCATCACCCAACGTCCTAATCTTTGACTTATAGCAGCTAAAGAAGGAGGAGACGTCGACAGGATCCACCTATGACACATTACAGTGTTCGTTGGTGGAACCAGTCACTCAGTAAACCGCCAGCTGATGTGACCAGCTGCCTCAAGAAGAAATGCTGCCTCACGATCTGGAAGAGGTACTTTTTGATTTGGAAAGAACAAGTGAGCCAAGGGCACATGTCAGAGGACGTTTCATCATTTTTATTGGATTTTTATTTCCTTGTGGTACGGTTTTCCAAGAATTTTAATTTTCTATTTATTATACAGGCAAAAATAAGTAAGCAGAAATACAAGAATTTTTTTCCCTGCATGGCATTAATATAGCAAGGGGTTGCATTAAATTGTACCCTGCACAGGTCCACATTATGTACTAGTTTTACGGCTGCTTATAGCAGGAAGCTTTATTGTGAAGGTTGTGTAGGAAAAACTGCAATTACCTAATGTAGATTTCAGTATATAATGCTGGAACCATTAAGAGAAAGTAATCTCTATATCCCCATTCAAGAAGAGTATAAAACACTTTGCCATAAAAGCAAGTTGAATGCCATTTCAGTATGTAATAAAAGAGCATCAAACACATCATCTGTAACTAAATGTAAGTGTATTAAGAGAAATGCTTTATAATAATGTAAAAACGTGATTTTTTTTTTTTTTAATTTTTGTACCCAACCTGATCGCCATAGACTGCTTTTCCTATGTATGGACTGAGGTGAAAAGCCAATATTGTTACTAGCAGTTTGCTAGGTGTCCATCATTTCACAATGATTTATCCTATTTTGAATACTCTCTGGTGTGGTCACTGAAGTACATCACTGGAAAAGCAGAAACTGTACCCCTTTAAAAAAGCTGTCATTAGAAAGTTCAAAATCGATGACATCCAGCAATTAAGTACCAGGGGTGTATACCCTTTGTACTGGGGTATACACTAAAAATCAATGGCATCCAGCAATTAAGTACTGGGGGAATACAATTTGTGTGGTGATAACTGAAAGGTCAATAACTGCTTTAGGTATTGCAAATGTCCTTTGAGACCCCCAGGCTTCCAATGCACAGCTATATTGACTTACATTAGAAAAGTGATCTCAGTCAAGAATAAGCATGGAAATTCCTGATTTCACTCCAGGGACCACATCTGTTCTGTCCCCTGCAAAATGGTAGCTGATGCATATTGAATTAATCCTCTAAAACGCATGTTCTCACTGTCTGTAAATAGAAGATATTTAATACCAATGATTATAATCTCTGTGTTAGGCATCCCGTAATTGTCTGTAAAAGGCTGTAAAGTTTCACTTTATATCCATAAAATTTTATCCACCAACATGAAATATGCCTTTGTAATGGGAACATTTTATCCTTTGAGAATTCCATTTATGTTCTGATAACACATTGTTCTGTACCATAACACAAATCTATTCTCAATTTCCGTTGTATAACCATCTACTTCTCAGTTCTGCTGATTCTTAGAGCTTCTAAAGCACCTGAGGTCTTGCTCATGGTTTGGACTGGCCAGCCAAAAAATTGTTTTAGAAATAAATACTGAAGCCATAGCAGCTGTTGGTTTTTAAACAGCAACAATTGGAACTGCAGAAATACTTTTATTTTTAAGGTTTTTTTTAAACAAATCCAAAGAAATTAATTATTGTTGTAGTTCACTCAAAAAAGGGAAGATTTCTTGTGTTATTGGGAAAATGTAGAAATGTTAATTACACCCAAGCTGCATCCTTAAATTCCTTCCAAAAATAGCAGTGAATTTCCTGATATGTGAATGTGCATAGGCCCTCATGTGCCTACAGGCTCATAGCTGTAGATCTGCAGTGAGATCCAAGATCAGGAGTATTGGAATGAGATTTGATTATGTCACTACTGTGCTGCTCATTGTTCTCCTTGCTGGAGGCTTTGACATGAGAAAGCAAAGCCCTGCCTCCACTAAGATAGTCATCAGAACAAGGCATGGAAAGTCAGTAATGGGGAAAAGATCAGCTGCAAGGAGACCACAGCCAATATTGGTGATTAATGCTTTTCCATCTACTAGCCATTTTGAGCACAGCTTCCAGAGTTTAATTCCTCTTTAAGGTGCAAAGAGGAATGACACTGCGAACTGTGTAATAAACCATAAAAAGCAAACTTTCAGGTATATCTAGTTCTGTCACAATAATTTTGTGCAAGGCCATCCTTAACCACTGGCAGCCAGTCTGGCCACAATCTAGTAGAGAAGGAACTTAACTGGAAGTTGCATTCAGAAAAAGGCAAGCAGAAGTATAGGGACTAGTCAGCAGTATTTTCTGTGGTCTACCTGCATCTGATCATTTTCCTACCCCTGACTTAGTATGCCTTGTTCTTTGTGATGTAGGGAAATGGCTTTCACATTGTTGGGGCTTTCCCTTGATGACTGGTGATTTAATGACCAGTGGGGAATATTCGGGAAGAAGCAGGAGAGATGAACGAAACACATGGAAATGTATAGGTTCCCATGGGACTTTATAGTCAATGTATACAATCTTACACAAAAATATATAAAAAAGCACATTTGAATGTTATCCCTAAAGCACATATTAGCTGGCATGATACAAATATACATGATACCTATATAACCGTCCATAGCTGGAGAACCTATAGAAGTATATCCAGTGTCAGAAGACATCCCCAGACAATGGACCAACCTGACATGTTTCGGTCAAATTTCTTCAGGATTACAATGGGTATCACTGTATGTGAAACATAATTCAATAATAGTTATTGTTCAAATGTATGATATACATACCAATGATCCTGCCATGATGGTTCTTGTTCACTTCCTGTAGGGTGACTGCTGTCTGTCACAGGGCTTGTAATGGAGACTACAAATGGCCAATCTGACACACACTGTAGAAGTGGTTCACAATTTCACTAATGGGAAGCCCATCAAGTAGAATGAAGTGCACCCAAATCTGCAGTAAATGTGGAGAGAAGTCACTGAGAAAGTGGAGATGAGCTCATGCGTCCTCCAAACTATCTATCTGAACTCTCAAATCGTGCTTTTTTTTTTTTTTACCCAGTCAGCTACAGACCTGGCCATTCCCTGAGATGCAACACTGGTAAACAAAGGGGTGGGATGCTGATGACACCAGTGCCCTTATATGAACACATGCCTATATTTATCCAATGACACTGACTGAATTTGTAAACGTGTCTAAGGGCACGGATGTCATCAGCATTCCTTTTTTACTTGTGCTACAGAATGATAGTTCAGATAGAGGTGAATTTGCAGGATGCCCAAGCCCATCTGTACTGCTGATCTCTTCTAACCTTTCTCCGTGCCTTCCTGGATTTCATCATGTTATCACTTTAAATTCACATTAACTCATATTTTTTGTGTAACCATTCCCCCGTAGGAGCTAATGGCTAGGATGGTTCCTCTGTTCAACCTTTTCAAGAACCTCAGCCCCTCTGACATACCAGGTTGAGTGTATAAACATACAATATCACAGGAATTCACTGAAAGTAATACTTAGTACTCAATAGTAAG